TAGTTATATTTATATAAAAAAAAAAAAAAAAGAGAAAGTGAAATCGTATATATATATATATATATATATATATATATATGTAATATAATTATTATGCAATATTGAATATGATTTGTTTTAATATGATAATACAAAGCACGGTAATATATATGTGTACATGTGTTGTTTAGCAACGATTGATGATACATCGGAGATAAATGGCGATGATGGACAAACGCGATAAAACGTATAAAAGAACGGGCCATCTCGGAATAGGTGGAAGGAAAAAGGGAGAGTGACTGAGATAGGATATCGGCTGCACCGATTGCGAAGGTGAGGGAAGATCCAAACGGTTGGAAGCGATCCAAAGAGAAGGTATGCGGCGGATAAAAGAGTGCTGGTCGAAGAAAAAGAAACCGAAAGGAGCTGTGGAAGCTGCAACCCCTACAAGTTAATCGCTAAAGAAGAAACTGACAAGGCTCGTAGCCGAAGATTTTTGCAATGGTCTTAATGACTAAGAAACGTCGGTATTTTCGATGCTTAATGCGAATAACATTGCGGTCTTGCGCTTACAAGCCATCGTAACTCGATAAATGTAGTCAACTACTTTTTATTATTTCATTTACGTTTCTTTTTCCTTTACTTAAAAATATTATTCAAATATTATTTTAATTTAATATTAAACCTTTTTGAGAAATGTGTTTGCATTAGTTATTTATATTTAATACATTATAATAAAAAGTATACAATTTTATTCTTATAGACAAAACTTAAATTTAGATTTATTTAATTTAAGAAAAAAAAATGAATTTTATTTTGAATGTTCATGATTTGACAAACTTTTTTTAATTTCAACACAGTGTTATCGCGATAGCTAATGGTAAAATTAAATCAAACGTATAATTAGTAAAATACACTTAGAAACTGCAGGATAAATGACTTGCAGGCCAATTCAAGAAGAAGCTTTCGAAAAGTTGCGAAAATACAATATTGTGGAAGCAGCGAGCAAAAGAATGCGAAACAGCATAACTTCCGCATATTGCGAAAGAAACGATTGCTCGCTAATTCAGAAATCCGAATGCGATCCATTAGCACTGATCGCTTTTGAAAGAGGCAATGATCGAAATTAGCTCGAACAGCTGATCAAGTTCAAGCCTGGTCAGCAGATCGAGCGATATATTAGCGTACGCTATTGTGCACAGAATTGTTTTATCTCACATCACCTAAGATATAATACGTGCGCGTCATAATTAAGACCGAGATCGTGAGCCTGTAACGCCGAGTAACGTCTCGAAAAGTGATTAAACAATAAATAACGGGATCGTGAAGTATACCTTTAGACTTAACTTTGTTAAAATACGAAAATACTAAAAAAACGGTAAAGTGAAATTGTAAAAAGAATTAATTAAATAAGTGTGTTAGTGAAAATAGAAAGCGGTTTATTCTATCCAATCTGTTTTTGGCGAACCCACAACCTGTGCTCTGACATCCAAGGGTACAACAATTGAAAGTATAGAGCAGCACAATCGCTTAAATAATTCTACAAATTCTTAGCAAAATACGTGTAGGGTTTCCTCTTATGATTAAAAAGAAATTTTTGAGACCATCTTATTGAGCCTATAAAAAAATTGCGCATACCCAAGGGCGGTGGTTCTTATTAACCATTTTGTTGTTATCATTACAGTACTCGTGTATAATTTCAAGTTACGCGCAGCCTACTTTATTTTAATTATTCTTTTATGCTCGCCCTCACGCTCAGCATTTGTCCAGAGTCTGGGGTGAAAAAGGACAAAAGAAAAAGAGGTAGCAGAGACGGGAGTCGTTTTTATTTTCGTTGTTCCGCGGCTACCACGTGTACGTGCAGTAGAGCAGAATTCAGAGATCCGGCGGCACGGCGGCCAGCATTTATTGTGGCCACCCCGAGGGTGCATTTATATTCATAAGCATAATGGGGCATCGTGATATATGCGCCCACGCCTTAGTTAAGAATGTCCCTTCGCTCTTTCGTCATTATTAATTCCACGTATACCATCGCGGCCGTGCCTCTCAACGTTTGCCGACAACTATAAAAATACGCGCGTCTCTTATTATTTGACTAAATGCACGGCGAGGTTCTAATCATAAGTTGTAACTGACGGATGTTATCCTGAGGAACATCCTCGAACAGTATTTCCCTCAAGGACTTGTGCACCTGTGCACTTTGTACTTTGCAACGTACTTGTTACGTTCCTGCACTATCCAGTTGTATGAGTTATCCTGTAGTTCCAAACGTTACTACACAATTCTCATAAAAGTATCCAGCGTGTTTCATGATTTTGCATCAATTTTCAGATATTACATTTTTCAGATAATAGTAGGTTTTTTTAAGAAATTTAGAAACAATTCTTGCTCTATGAAAATTAATAAATAAATGCTGCTTTATCGCACAATTTTTGAATGTTTCCATTATTGTTAACATTGAATGGCAATCGAAATTTGAATTAATTATTGAAATGAGATTTATTTTAATAATTTTATGAAAACATACTAAATATTGATTTAAATTTATGTATAAGTTTATGTATAATGTAGAACGCAATATGTTTTAAATAAATATTATAATTTCATGCGTGCATATTATTCGCATATATTATTCGCGAAATTAATCCAACTTAAAAATTTCACAAAAGTTTAACAGAATAAGGAGAAGAATAAACAGATATAAAATAATTTTTATAGCTTATATATATCCAGAAAATATATAAAAAATAAACATATAAAAAATATATTTCTGGATTAACAAGTTCCTAAACATCTTTTGAAATTTTGAGGCAATTTCGTGAGTCACTGTACGATATTATA